AATATATTATCAGTAATATATATAGATGAAGAAGAATAGGTAATCTATTTAATCCTTCAATAAATAACCTTTTTCTTTCTTGTCCTTTTTCCTTTTTTTCCCTCCTTTTCCCCCTTTTTCTTTATTTAGTCATTTTTTATTCATTTATTTGTCACTGATAGAAGGCCTTATTATAGCCTAAGGACAACACTGTGTTATTTATTTATTATTTATTTATTTATTTATTGATTATTTTAAATCAATTTCCTTTCTTCTTTCTTCCTCTCCCTCCTCCTTTATATATATACATTATATAAGGAGATAAGATAGATTCATAGCATAGAGAGGAGCAGCAAGTAAGATGCTGCTGACGGATATTTATTACATGCTTATTATTAGCAACAACAAGAATAACAACATTAATAAGGATAATAATAATAAACAATAATAATAATTATAATTATAATAACTTCCTTCCCTCCGTCTTCTTTTTCTTCTCTTGTTCCTCCTCTATTTACTTATACTTCATCCCAATTAATGTACATTTTATTCTTCCTTCCTCTAAATCATGACATCCATAAGGAAGACCATTAAATTTAATATAATTAAATATATTAAATTAATTATAATAATTCATGAATCCCCCATTAAATTAAAGATATAGATAATCATGCAGAAACACCTGAAAAACAGCTTTCCTTTTTCAGGTGTATCTGCAGCTCCTCCTTATCATCACTTCATCATCTTTCCCTCATCATTTTTTTTCGGTTTTTTTTCGTTTACTTATATAACAAAGCGAAGTATAAACCGGAAAGAATACCAAGAATAAGACTTACAATAGCAAGAGGTCCAACATATTTTTTATTAGCGACGCTAGGTACAGCAGCGACGCTGTATATGAATGCAAGAGTTGCGAACCATCCATGAGTGACGGAAAGCACAACCATTTGCACGATCTGGAACCAAAATGCATTAAATACAACATTGTCATGAAGTTTTTTACTTAAGAAGAAAGGAATATAGAGAGCAAATCGTAGAACGGTGACCCAAGGTAGTAATGTTGGTGAGAACATAAGGAATCCTTTTAAGAATTTTCCTTGCTCAGCATAAGCAATAAGACATTTTCCTAATGTATCACCAAAAGGAAATACCCCTAATAACCATACAAGATGATTTTTTGGAGGAGAGGAGGTATCCCATTGTAGAGGACCAACACGAGGGAATAGATTACATGTAACAAAGAATAATAGGAATACGCATGCAATAGGTATACCGGCTTGTTGTAATACAGTAATTAATGCATGTTTTGTTTGTTTTATTTGTATATCTTGTTGGTGTTGTTGTTGATCTGCTGCAGTTGCTGTAGCAGCAACAGAAGAGGAAATAGAAACTTCTTGCAATTCTGTCGCTGGACTGCTTCCCGATCTTCCTGGTAAGTTATTATTATTAGTATTATTATTATTACTAGCATTAATAGCCTCCATAACAGCTTTTTTTGCTCCTTTTTGTCTTATACTAGCCGCCATTAATACAATACATACAACACCAACAGCAGCACTAACACCAGCAGTAACATTAACAAGAGTCTTAACATCTTGTGTTATATTTATATCTACAACAGTATAAGAAAGTATACCTACTAATATAACAGAGAAAATAGCACCAAATCCTTGTCCTGCACTATATATACCAACCTGATTAATAGGCATAAGGGCACCATAAGAGAATCCACTTCCTTGTACAAATCCACTACCACTACCTAATAAGAAACAAAGTATATGTACAAGTACAATTCGTGTATGTACAGATCCATAGAATATACAAGGACCAAAGAAACTACATATAATAGATCCTAAGAATAGACCTATATGTATCCATAATTCTTTTATACTACCTAAATACATTAATAATAATTGTACTAATAAATTACCTACTTGGTATACACCTAGTAATGAATTACCTGCATCATAACCTGATAAGAAATGCTCTGTTACATAAGGAAGAAGATATAATATATTATTCCATGCAAATAAGGAGGACATACCCAAGAAAAAAAAGGCAATTGTTGTTAACCACCATTCATAGTTACTTATTAATAACATTGATGATGAACAACAAGAAGACGAGGAAGAAGAAGTTGTTGTACATACACCACCAACACCACCACCTACACCATTACCATCTCCTATACATGAAGAACAAGAAGGAGATGAAGGAGAAGATGATTGTGTATATTTATTCTTCTCCTTTTCTTTTGCTCCTTTACTCATCTTTACTCCCCCTTTCTCTTGCATCTCCGCTATTCTTATTATATATATAGATATATATATTTATATAACCACCTCTCTATATATATTTATTATTATATATTATTTATTAATTAATTATTAATTATTATTATTATTCAATACATATATTTCCTTCCTGCTGATGTTTATTCTCCTGCTTAGGATGTTGTTGTTGTTGCTGCTGTTGCTGCTGCTGCTGCTGTTGTTGCTGTTGCACTAATTATTAATATATTCCTCTCTCTGCCCACGCAGACAGACACGACGGTATATAGATATATATACGAATAAAAAGAAGAAAAAAAAGAAGAAAAATATGACGGATTTCCCTTTATTTATTATGTATAAGTAAGATAATAATATTATCCTCTATAACAACAAGAATTAATCTTATTTTTCTTGTTTATTATGCCCCACAGCAAGAAGAATATTATTTATAACTTTTGCTGTTGTTGCTGCTGCTGCTGCCGCTGCAACAACAACGTGCCGCCACTTTTACAAAAAGTTGATGATAATGATGATTATATACCAACAGAAGTAAGTAAGTAAAAGTTTTCCTCCTTCTTCCTCCTTCTTCTTAGTAAAACAAAACAATACTTATTCAAAAAGAAGTTAAAAACAAATGCAACAAACAAGAAGAATCCTCTTGCTGATGCTGCTGCTGCTGCTTAACCTGCTGCTGCTGCACCAACAAACAGCGCTTCAATCAGCAGCCGCCATCTCATCATCATGATGGATAAAAGAGGTGCCCGATGGTGTATTCTTTCATTAAAAAGGATAAATTAAATTGCTTTCTTTATTTAATTATAAATAAAATAATAATTATTATAAATATATACATAATTTAATCTTTTTGTGAAGAATTTAGACAAGAAAGCATTCACCTTCTGTTATACAGATTCAACTCGAGACTTGAACAGGAGAAGAGGTGAATAATATAATCCTTCTTTCTTCATCATACAACAACAATATATTCAATTAATTTCCTTTTTTATTTCTTTATTTCTTTATTTTTATTCATTCATAAAAATAAATTTAAAAAATATTCAACCACTTCTCCCCACAAATGTGCAGATGGTGTGTTTTCCTTATATACAAGTTCGCACATTAGCTGTCCACTGTGCAGCTGTACATACACCCGAAGACGTATAACTTTTCTTACACATCTTGAGAATTTGTCTACATAATTACACAGTAAATCACCTTTATTTAATGGCCATCTTTTAATAATCAGTTAATTATAAAGGAATTCTCCAACAGAAGGAAAGAAGGATGGTGTGCACGTGCGAGTTCCTGCCCGCACACCACGGAATCCAGTAGGGTAGAAGACACGTTATTTCTCCTCTTTTTCTCCTAAACAAGGATTTCCTTTTGTTTAATTGCTTCTTTACTTTATAATTAGGGTAGAAGGGGGAATTATTAGCCCGGATTTTATATCAATTGAGTAGATGCAGTGGTGAGCCGGGTGGTCCCCCCAAGTGCGTCTGGTGTGCAGAATACCTACACCCGCTAGATCTCCTATTAAAACAAATAATTTTCTCTCTTTTTAATTTATTTTTATTACTTTTTTGTTTATTGCATGCGGATTCTTCCTTATAAAGAGGAAAAATGATCATTTTAACGGTCCCCACCTCTCCTTTCCCCACACACCCGTAGTACGTGTCTTGATGGGGAGCTTAAATACCCTTATTTGTATTCTTTTCCTCCCCTTTTATTCCTTTTTATTAATGGTGAAATAATTAAATAATAAATACATGCATTTAGGAGTGTGGGGGGCAGCCACTAATTCAATTTATTGTATTTACACACCGTCCTGTGTAAGAAGTACAACATCAAAGATTCTTGCTCCCTTTTATGGTATATTTGCTGCATAAATTGTTATTCTTGTATACTAATAGTAATAATAATTATTACTATTACTATTCTTATTATTACTAGCATTATTATTATTAATAAAATAATAATAATATAGGCAACTATACTAGGAGGGGATTTATAACAGTTGTTGTTACGACTGAATAATGCATGCATATTATTACATATATTATTTGTATTATTATTATATATATAGTAATAATATTATATTATACATATACAGTTAATTATATAATAATATTATTATTATAAATATAAAAGTTAATACAATAATAAAATAAACCGCTAAAAAGTCTAAAGTGGTGACACCACGAGGTGTACGCACACCTCAATGCATGCAGAACTATTGAGGTGTGCATACACCGCAGCACATGCCTGCACTAGGCATGGCTATCTTTATCTTTATCATTGTTTGTGTTGCTGCTGCTGTTGCTGTTGCTGCCGCTGCTGCTATTGCTGTTGCTGCTGCTGCTCTTCCCGTATAAGTCCCTTAAAGTCTTTTGCATCTTTGCTGCAGATGTTGCAGCAGCTTGAATAGCAGCACTGCCTGCAGCAGCCCAATCTGCTGACGCCCTGCATGCGCATGCATGCATGCACAGCTATTGTATACTGCGTGCATGCATGCATGCCCGTGTCGCTCCTCTTTTATCAGTACTAATTCAATGAGCAAAGATTGCATGCATGCAGCAACAGCAACAACAGCAGCAGCAACAACAGCAGCAGCAACAGCAGCAGCAACAGCAGCAGCTCAAACGCACTTGTAGAGAACCTCAGCCGTTGCACTGGAAAGCCGCGTGAGAGTCGCAGGCATTTGGCGAAGCGACTGTACGGACATCGTAGCCCTGCAGCAGCAGCAGCAGCAGCAGCAGCAGCAGCAGCATCAGCAGCAGCAAGAAGACTCACGCATTATACACGGCAGTAGGAAGAAATGCACACATGCAACGCATGCAAACAACACAATAAATTCTTATATTCCTTCAATATCTCTACTGATACAGCATGTGCATGCATGCATGCACAACAGCATGCTGCTGCTGCTGCTGTTGATGCTGCTGCTGTTGATGCTGCTGCTGCTTACGTCTCTGCTGCAATACGACTAAATGCTTCTCTATCTTTTAATGTTCCTTTTAGCGCATGCAGCGCTGCCTTTGGTAATCCCGCTGCTCCTAAGGAAGAAAAAAAAAATGAAGTATATAATCAGGCGCACGCATGCATGCATGCATGCGCTAACAGCAGTTGCTGCATCTGCTGCAGCAACTGCAGCAAGTGCAGCAACTGCAGCAACTGCAGCAGCAAAGAATACGAGGGACCTACGAAATGTTTGTTGGCTTTCCTCTGCTGCAGCAGCTTTCCCTTCTTCTCCTTCCTCTACATCGGACAGTACAAGAAATTCATCAGGTGCTGTTCCTCCTGCTGCTGCTGCTGCTGCAGCAACAGCAGCAGCAGCAGCATCTGAGTTATTTGCTGTTTTAGACAGCCGCATGCGCTGCGGTGATGCCCAAAGGCTGCGGCAGGCAATGAGTAGAGGAGGCCTTGGGTGCCACAGCATTTCCCCTGCAGAATGCAACAAGAAGCAGCAGCAGCAGCAGCAGATGCAGCAGCAGCAGCAACAGCAGCAGCAACAACAGCAGAAAAACAGCAGCAACAACAAAACGAACGAGAAGAAGCAAAAAACAGAACAAAAATAGCCTCAGCAGCCGGAGCAACAAAAAACAGCAACAACAACAACAGCAGCAGCAGCAGCAGCAGCAGGAAGAGCAGCAGCAACGTACCGCAACAAACTTGCAGCTCCCCTATTTCGTCTGTTTCTGCTGCATAATCTTTAACCTTATGCAAGACAGTAAAATCCCCTTCAACAATTTTTGCATCTTTTTTAATAAAAGGAGAAGAAGGAAGCAGGAGCGCAGCAAACATATCTGCTGCTGCTCCTCCTCCTCCTCCTGCTGCTCCTGCTGCTGCTGCACCACCCATATCCACCTCTGCCGCCTCTCCTGGTGCTGCCTCCATCTCTACAGGTGTAACATTATCTAAGACACGAAGAACAGCATCTCCTTCTGCCTCACGCCCCCCACGACCACCTGCTTCTGCTGCTGCTGCTGCTGCAGGAGCAGGAGCAACAACAGGAGCAGCAGCAGCAGAAAGAGAATCCCCCTCCTCCCCTCCTACTAGCTGGACACGAGAGAAGATTGCTGCATCAAGACCTGAATCAATAATGCCTATACACCCCCAATGACTGCCATGCATCCATCCTAATCCTCTGCATCTTTGTAAGGGAAGCCATACAGGTATTTCCTTTAGATCTACAGGATTTATTTCCTTTTTCTCCTCCTCTTGTAATGTTGTTTCTTCCTTCATTATTATTCTTTAGAAATAAGAAATATATAGAGATAAAAGGTATTTATAAGCCGCATTCCCTCTGTAGATCAGCAATACAATCCATGCATTGAATACAAGTCTTCTTGCACCGCCAGTAAATTCCTGGACAAAGAAAGCGGATAAATGAGTAATTTATGCCTTGTTAAGGTCTTATATATTGTATTTAATTTAAAAGGAATAATAAAACGACATATTAAACACTAGAAAGACCAGTTGCTTCCTTCTGCAACGGTGTATACTAAGCTAGGTAAGGAAATCATGCAACATTAGAAAAAGTTGTGTATTCTTCAGTAAATCACCACTTCTTTTAAGTTTATTTTTCTATCCTTCTATAAATAATATAATGTTTAGTATATTTATTTATAAGACAATTTAAAAAGCCATAAATACACGTATCCTTCAAGCCCCGAGCAAGGTAGAGGCTACTTCCGCATGCGAAGGAAGCTGCATTATAATGGTATGCCATTCATCTCTTCTTGCTGTGTGTATGCAATAAATATTATTATATGGGTATATTAGGAATCTATATCATCTGTACACAGACTTGATGCATATTATTATATGCTATAATAAGGTCATTATAACCACATTAGTGTTATATAGCCGTTCCTTCCTAAGATTCTACGTAGCAATCTTTGTTTGACTAGAGTAACCCCTTCCCCCTGATAGCGTATTGCAAAGCTCATGTGTATACTGTGTGTGTCTGTAAGACTAATAAACATATAAACAATTGTTTAAATAATAAAAATAAACAATTGTCTAAATGATGGAACAGGCGTGCCTAAAGAACACGCCTGCATGCAGGTACGGTGCAGTATATTATGTTGGTGGCAAACTTATAAGGAAGAACCCCTGGCGAGCAGCCAAGTCGCCTGTGCCTCCCCTAGCTGCGGCAGCAGCGTAGATTAAGGCTTTATTTCGCCTTCGTAGGGGAAGAAGGCAAGGAATGAGGGAGAAAGAAGTGCTTGCGCTCCGCATGCATGCAAGCAGAGGAAAGCGCATGCAATATAAATGCATACAATACAGCTTTGCAGTGCTGTACCCGACTTTATTAGATGCGTACGTCATTACAAACCCTATCTGCATTAACTAAAGAAGAAAGTGCAGCATCTTCTTCCCCCCTCCACCTAACTCGTAAGAGTAGCAGCAATAGCTACACAAACGTGTTCGTTGCTCCCTTTTCTCTGCTGCATTAACACATAATGCTGGTGGTTGCTTGCATGCATTGCTCCGTCTTGGTTGTACAGCCAGAGGATCTGCAGCGCTAAGGTAGGAAGCAGCAAATACTTCCTGCTGCACCTGCTGCAGCAAAGTAGGAAACGTTAGATGCAGCTAAAGAGCTCTCACATTCCCCATCTTCACCGATCGCACCGAACAGACCAGTGGACCACAGGCGCATCCGCTGCAGCAGACCATCTGTCTGTATGCCTGCAGCAGCAGCAGCTCTCCTGGGGGCAAATCGTTTGTTACTCCCTAAAAATGACGGAATGAGTGACGAAGAAATGCATGCGTTGTTCTTGCATGCTGCGTGCTGCATGCTGCATAGCAGCTGAACCTGCACTTACAGTAGAAGGTTCATCACTCTAGGAACCAGAGAAGACGTTTATTTCTCTCGCGCTGCCGATTGTGCTGCTGCAGCTGCTGTCTATCAGCAGCAAACCCGTCGCCTGTTTGCCCCCACAACAGCCTCTCCAACTCTGCTGCTGTCGTTGCTCCACTATTCCCCACAGCAACTGCAGCAGCAGGTCCGTCATCATCCCCCACAGAGTCCTCTGGTACACAATAAACAGATGCTGCTGATGCTAGGGCTACAGACACCCCAGGCGTTGGTTCTTCTGCAGCAGACAGTGCAGCAGCAGCAGCAGCAGATACTGCTTCTGACTGCGTTTCGGTGTCGCATGCACGCGACAACGTAGGGGCTTTAGCTGATGCTGCTGCGCTTGCTGCTGCAGCCTCCTGGCTGTGCACAACTGACCCCATACCCCAATATTTGCATTTAGCACCAACACGTAATGCATGCTGCAACCACAAATCTGCTGCTCTTAAGGCCTCGTCAGACTCTGCTGTTAAATCTGCTGCATGAGTTGCATGCGCAGACATGTATAAAGATACATCTTCACGAGCCTCCCGTAATCTGAATAGAAACACCGTACAAAAAGATACTATCACGGTAGTATACACAATATATATAATATATATGTATAATATATATAATATATACAATATATATAATATATACAGGTATATAAGTATATCTACAGTGCCGTGTATCTAATAAGTGCTACTAACGAACCGGGCAGCTACAGGGCACAGTATATATGCATGTATATATACATATATGTTCATCTACATATATTACATGTATATATTGCATAAAAATACACAAAAGTATGTAGTGCAAATTGCTGATGATCAAGCAACAAGCAATACTATGGCAGCAAAGACAGCAGGAAGACGTACTGTGAGTGTAGACAAGCAACTGCTTCAACATAGCTTTCTCTTTCCTGCTGCAGCCCCTCCGCCAGCCTCATAAGTTGCTGTTGCTGCTCAACACTCTTCTGCAGCAGCTCCGGCCGCGGATACGTCCCTGATGCTATGCATGCATGCAGTTGATGAAGCCAGTTATAAGGACCCTCCGCGCTACTGCAAGTGCTGCTCGCTGGGTTGCCGTTGGAGTCTGATAGCTGCTGCTGTGCAACGCTGCTGGTGCTGCTGCTGCCGTTCCACTGCAGCCCGGTTTCGTGCGGCCCGGATGCCTCCCCTGATTGTCGATCTGCTGCTGCTGCAGCAGCAAGCTGCTGCTCCATGCGTTCTTGCCGACGCTCATGCTCTGATTGCTGCAGCGCCTGTGTTAGCTGCTGTTGCCGACACTCCAAATCCTGCAGCGGCACCCCACAGTAGCAAGCGTCTTGCGGTGTACATACGCAATAACGATGGGCGCTGCCCACCATATCATGACAAGCTACAAATGCATGCAGAGGACTATATGTAACCGATTTACTCAATACCAACAAATAATTAAACAACTTGGTATTATTTTATATAAATACAGGAAATATCGGTCCCTTACCTTGAGTTCCTCCTTTGCCGCACCGAAAGCCGCCTTGTACAAGTCGCGCTCCGCCAGCAGCTGCTGCAGTAGCTGCTGCAACTCACCGGTGCCTGCTGCTGGATCTACAGAAGAAAGGGCGTTGATAAGCCCCCTCAGTTCACCCCCAATTGATGTGCTGCTGCAGCAGCTGCTGCTGCTACTGCCGAGGTGCCGCTGCTGAGCCGCAACACTGGATATAGCATCAGAGCTCAACGGGTTCGTAGGGGCCCCACAGGCACTGCTGCCATCATTCTTGTTCCCTTGAGGACGTTTCAGAGTTGCAACATGCAGCGCGAGGCCACTAGGATGTTGCACCGCCGGCTGCTGCTGCTGTTGCTGCTGCTGCTGTTCACTGCGAGATGCCGCGCTCTCCCCCGATCCAGGGGCTGTAGGGCGCTCAGGACGCGCGTCTGCACAATGTACTGATGACTGTGACTCTCTCTGGAGCTTCTGTTGCTGCTGTTGCTGTTGCTGGTTGCTTGAAGGGAGAGAACCTTCAGAGCCTGAAACGCAAGTTGAGGCGGCAGCATCTGGCGCGTTGTCCCACAGAGCACGCAGGGCCTGCGGCTTCTTCGTTCCTGCAGCAGCAGCAGCATCTTCTGCTACTGGCGATGCTTCCGATAAGACAGCACCGCCTGCCCCTGATGGGCTAGACTTTTCATTCGACGACTCGTTCATGGTGTCCTACAACGGCAGCACAGTGGCCTACCGACGGGACACAGGCTTCAGGGAATGCGCCGGCGGCGCCGTCAAGCAGCAGCAGAGGATCCCCCTTTGGCCACAGATGCTTCTTCAGCGCAACCATGAATCGTTTGAATGAAAAGGTTTCATGCAAAATGCGAAAGAACAAGGGATATGTGGCTGTCGCGCTGGAGCATGGGCTACTCTGCGGTGACTGAGGGGGGAAAGAAGAGATGTCCTCTGCTTATATGAAGGACTAGAAAAAAGAGAACACAACAAATCAAGGAGCGATATAAAATAACAGTTCACCACCGGATCTGCGAATCGCGGCAGGGCTCCAGTGCATGTGGCGCAGCATCACCTATGGGTCTCATTCAAAAAGACGATACCTTCCTTCTTCGAGTCTTTTCGATGTAAATGCAAGATCTTTAAAGCTGCAGGGTCTGAAGAAGAATGCGTCCTCCAAGAAGGTGAAGCTGTATGGCCCAGGTTTCTGTACCATGACCTGCGGTGCAGACAGGCGCCGTCGACTGAGGCCCCAGGCCGCAGGCAGGCAACATGAATAGTCAGAAAAGTGCCATTTAAAACTCCATGTACAAAAATCTGTATTGCAGCATATTTGGCTTTCCCTACGATAAAAATGAGACTCCTGAAGAGGCCGGTTTGCCTCGCCCCGCTGCATTGAGCAGCCAAACAGTGGACAGACAGTAACGGCAGCCATTTTGATGGGGTTCTGGGCAGAACCCTTGCTCCAAACACAAAGCTAATTCAATATCCCACATTTTAAAGAGTCTTTATATCCTTCTTGCTGGTCCCTTCTCAGATATCCTTTCCATGTTCTAGAATAGCCAAAGGCGGATTCGTTTCGCTGCAATATCTCTAACACCGTCTCGTTCGAACATGCAACATCTATTTATCTAATATATCACTCTTTTACTCAAAAATACATAGACTAACATAATCAAATCTTGTCAAAATTGTGTTCTCCGGGCACATATTCATTTGTGTGGATTCTAAAGATGAACTACTGCGCCGGCTGGCAAAAGCCGTCGTCATATATTTTTGTCTCCGTTGCTCTCTTTTGTATCTCTTACGTTCATGTTTCGTTGCAACTTTGTGCAGTAGGGATCCACGCACCTGCAGATCCCCCAGGGGCAACCCAGCGCATGTCCGGAATTTCGTGGCCCGATTGGAGAAGCGGTACACAAGCAAAAGAACGCAACAACTGCCTACAAAGTTTGTACATACAGCCAAGAGGGCTTGTTTGTGTGTGTTGTATGTGCGGTTGTCTTGCACCTTGGGTTGTAGGAAGGTGCATTGCAGCGCCTGCCCGACCGATTCCTCTCCCAACACTCCAAACGGTCGAGCTTCTGAGCTCAGGGCTTCTGGAGGCTGGTGAAGGAGGTCAGCTGCCTTAAAGAAACTCCTGTCTATTGCAGCTCACAGTAGTCATCGGAGGAGGTCCAAGACCAGGGTCCAATGAGGTGCCAGACCACTCGTACCTTAGCCAAGCGACCTCTGGCAACCTTATTGATTCTGTTTGTTGGTCTACTTGTGATAGAAGAGGCTTTAATTCCTCGCGAATGGGGGTAGTCTGAATGTACCAGGAATTCCTCAGTCCTATTTACTAGAAAACAGGAAAACGGATCCCGGCATTAGTTGGCGATCGGGGGCTGCACTTTGCACTAGTAGTTGAGCTTGCGTCAGCATACCAGCAGCAAGCAGCTACTCCGTCGCATGGCAAATCGCGCTGTGTCTTTCTTTTACGGTGTGCATGCAGTGCATGCATGGTGGCGAAGTGCCCAAAAGGGGCGTTGAATGAGATGTACGTGCCACCACAGTGTAGGATTAAGCCATAAGCTAAATCATCCGTTCATAATCAACAGGCGGAACGATGCTGCATGACTCATTAGTTTCCACTACAAGCGTGCCTCCAGAGACTCCCAGTTTGTCCATATTACCGTATGTGTCTTCCTTGAGTGAGTCACATAAAACTACTGTTGGGTCATGTCAATCACGAAAGCTGCACCAAGGCTCTGCATGCAGATCGTGCTTACCTATAAGCTGCGCATGCAATGCATACACGGTCTTGATAGTGCATTTATTCTCCGTCAGTGAGAGCCTCTAGTTTCCAGCTACCACCAGGTCCCGGGTACGTCCTTTGTTTGTCCTTTTTGTCAAATAGCAACAGACAGGGGGATGATGACACCTCTGACGGGCACAACAATATCGGGTGTTCTGTTGGCTCCTGCACTGCCGATACCTTACTGATGAAGATGGTTCGAGTTTCTGCACAACAAATCGGCATTAGGGCTCTGGAAGCAGACTGTATTTTAGCTAGCATGGGCTGTTGGGCTGCACAAAATCTGCTGTCAACATGCAGCGTCCTCACTTCTCATGACCCGGCATATCCCTTCCTTTTGGTGGGCGAGGTTGACGCTTTGCCTCTTGTTTGCTGTGGACCGCCCTTATTGGTAGCAGCGCAATCTTTTCTGTTGGCTTTGGCCTTGGCTGCAGCAGCGAGTGGAATACAACCTCCGTCGAGCTGCACCACACACACACACACACACACACACACACACACACACACACACACACACACACGATAAACCGTCGGGAAGCACTTCTTCTTGGCGTGTCTGTATTGGGCTAGTAGGCGGCTTACTCGCTTCGAAGATCTGGGGCGGGCCTTGCTTCGGCGGCTATAGTAGAATATGCACAAACCGATCAAGCCCAGAAGAATCACCAGGAGCGCCACTGCAATGAAGATGCCTACACATCCGGAGATCACCAAGCAACGTACGCGTTGTTGCTCACGACACATAAACAGGAAAATACGGATTTATGAAGGGTAGGTGGGTACGATGCACGGTAATGTACCGTTTTGAATTTGAGTGGGGAGTATCACCACCTTCCGGATGATGACAGCACAAGGCGACCGACAAGCCTAAGCGAGAGTGCACGGGCGACTCATGGTGGATAGTGTAAGCTTGGCGTACCCATTACCGAGAACGGTTTTGCTGGGGGCGTTATATCTCTGTCTACACCAAATGAGGCTGCGCATCAATGCATTCGCATGCTGCCCAGGAGACAATTTGCTGTGGCAGGAACAGGGTTAATACATGCCTGAGATACACTGTACAGGCCAAATTAATAGGTTATTTCCTGCGGTGAACGAAAGAGATTCCGGTATCCTCCTTACTCCTTTCTCACCTTTAGGAAATTCATATGAATAATCATCGCGGTCGACAACTACGCGATACGCAGGGGGTGCCGCCGTCGAACTACTAGTACTAGTGTCTAACGTGGAGATCCGAAGAGGCCTGCCTGGAAAAGGTAACCACCAAGCTTTTATGCACTGGAAAGGCTGGGAACACTTTCAATTCCTAATACATTCGATTTCAGCACAGCATTAGATCTTTGACTAATGCATTGCTGGCTCAACTGCATCACCAGGAGAGGATACTGTCCCTTCATAGTAAGTGCTGTGGTGTCCCATGCTAAATATGTATAATTCATACAGGCCCATCCCATATAGGTGATTGGTGATTACGCGGTACCCAATTACCTGTTTTGGAGCAGCGGATGGGCCAGAAGTCCTCAGCGAGCTCCGGGATTTTCTTGGTCAGTTCCCCCCTCTCCAAGGCAAGGAGCCACTTCTTCAACTGCTCAGTATGTTCTTGCTTATCAGGAGTTGCGGGGCTGTGCGCAAGCAACGGTTCTGTTCATACGTGAGGTGACGGGATCAAACCGTCATTTTGAATACCTCGAACATGCAAAATACCCCCAGTGGCAAGGTCAGCGGTGCCAGGAAGAGCGGTAGACTGTATCACTCTGCGTGTCAGCCTACGTCATTATGACAATTGTCCCGTCGGAACTTGTGTAGTACCTAGCCACCTGAAGAACTCGAGGGTCTTTCACCTTCATTGTTGAAGCAACTGCACCGCGGAGCGCTATCAGCCGGCGTTCAAAGTGGTGTAAATTCTGCAAGTTCAGAAATCAAAAGGGATATATATATGTCGAAGTGTCAAGAGGAATGCAGGAAGTTGTCACATGGGTGGAGGCTCTCATAGCATCAAAAGGAGTATGCTACTGAGCAGAGATGCACAATGATTTGGGTTTAACCGAAATAGTGCTCACACTTTTCAGCTCTTCCATCCACTTGAAATTACGGAGTTTTACCCACAACTCTGCCTCCTGTTCCCATTCTGCATCAAGGCCTGTAAGCAGCATGACACGAAGGTGTAAAACCAAACCCTTCACTATATAGCAAAGTATATAAGGTCAAATGGGTCCACCAGGTTGGATAATTACACAGATGAATTACACGATCGGTTGTTTGATACTACAAGGGCTTTTAAAACCATTTGGGCTGCGCCAACAAACCTGGGCGCTGCCATACTGTTGGGGCCGTTTGGAGAGGTACGTCGTTGAGCACACCTGGTAAACCAAGGACTATCGGTTCCAGGGGCACCTGCATACCGCAAACAAAATGCAAAAGCTCTACCAGGTTCAATGTTTCTCGATTCCCGCTAGCAGCCAGCATGCCATAATCCCTGAACACGTAAGCTGACACATGCTGCTTTGCCATGTATACGGACCTTTCTGTCTCCGAAGCGCCATTCTCCAAATGCAGTTTTGGATTGTTCGAACATTTCTCGCATTTGCCCCGAGAGGTCATGAAATGGGATGCCTCGGATCCTGAGAAAGTTCCAGCCGTCAACGTCGTCGACAATAATACCGTTTCTGTGTCCCCACGTGGGGTGGTCGTCGGGCTAATGGTTTTCGAATTATTTAGTGATCATTGCTCTGTTCAGCCCTTCGGAGGAAGAGAAAATATTGATAAGCGGGCCCTCCCGACGTTCTAACTCATTCAGCTGCACTCACGTGAATGTCAAAATTGTGCACCTCGTTGGTTCGCGGTCATCAGGCCTCAACTGCAAAGGCACAACCCTTTGTGGCTGGACAGAAAAAGCAGATGACACGTGCTCGATGACATCCTGGAGGAAAACCTGTGTTTCGTAATAGTGCTGATATGGATTCACCGTAACACAGCACAGTGCAGCAGACAGCATGTTCCATGTCCCCCAGCCTAAATCCTACCAGTTGGGGAAACATAAGAGAGTCAGCCCGCTACATGTTGGTGAATTTCATACCACCGCAAGTTCGGCAAGGGAGACGTTGAGCAGTTTGACTCCTAAGGCCGCATCAGGGCTGTGCAACCTCCTCCCAGGAGCTCCAACCAACCTCCCCGCTTTGGGGCGAGTCCCTAATCTGTAATTTTCGTTGTCAACGTCTTTCATTGCGGGTTTTCGCTAGCAAAAAAGTCGAGTCAGAGGTCCTTTGAGGCGACCTTGCACAACAGGGAACCCCGTGTAAGGAGACCCGGTGACATTGAAACGTCACTATCAAGAAAAGAGCCACGCTGATGTTGTTCCTTTTCCTTTCCTCCTTCTGTTTCATTAAGGACTAGCACTTGCCTACTCACGAGAGACATCTGGATCCCCCCGCTCCGCCTGTTGCCCCGCCGGAGGGGTGTAGCTGTCGCTTTCAGTTCGGCGAAGGAAAGAACTTCCACAGAAGTCCACCATATTGCCAACAGGGAGTTTGAAACCTCCACCTCCTGCTGTCAGTCGTTATTTATAGGACAATAGCTAGAGCGTAAGGAATCTATGTTTGGCCCGAGGTTGCCCCATTCGCCCAGGAGAGCACGTCTCGGCGAGACGCTCCGGAGACGTTGCCAACCGATGCCATCCATTCAGCCTTACATTTTGATAGAATAAAAGACATACTTTATATACTAAAAGGAAACTCAGTGAAGACTAATCGGAATAAAGAAGACCAGCGTTTGCGCTAATCTAAATGAAAGCGTCGGTTACTGCATGCAACCTGAAATTCCTACCACAACGACCACAAATGGTTTCAGGAGTTAACAGTAGACTAACAAACATGCCCAGAAAACGGTGATGCTCTAAACCAAATAAATAAAGGTGTCTCCTAACGTACTTGCCAAAATAGTAGCCATCAACTGTAGACAGTGGCAATAAGTGCCGGTAAGCAATGTGCAACACAAGTACAGTGGTCAAAACCACCGCCAGCGTTATTACAATTAGGTGAATAACACTTCTGCACTATCTCATTCAAGAGTTTAGGGTGTAATATGCAAAGGCAAGTTTACAAAGATGACAGTAAGAAATATCCTGTAAACGCCCGCTGTGGCGATCATCCCAGCCCCTGTAGTTTGCCGAGCTTGGCACTGGTGTTGGGGATCCCCTTCACCGTCAAAGCGTCGACACGAATGCATGAAAATTCTTCCGATATGAATCAACCTGATTCTACTGCTCTTTGTGGTCCACTGGGCTGGAATTTTCCAGTACTGTTGGAGTTCTTCGTACGAACGTCGATTGCAGGTTAGCCAGGGCCATGCAACCGCGAGCCGCTGCCCGTCCCGATGCGCATCTGCTAAGAAAAGCTAAAAAGGAGCTGAACTCCCCCGTGTTAAATTAGGAAACGTATTTTACACTTTGAGTCAGCTTCTTCTTCCTGTTTAGCTGGAAGAATCGTCTTGCTGAGACTTACTGTCAGCTGAACGCGACAGTGGCGGCCCGTGAGACGCTGACGACAACGCTGGACCGTGTCCGTCTGCTTCTCCCAGCACATGTTCTTTCTAACTAACTAAAGGCAGTGTACATTTAATGTGGGAGCACTGTTGCTAACTTTACAAGTCAACGTCATACCGGAGAAGCGAGCCCACGGTTGACCGAGGAAAGCACGCCGATTGCCCGATCGGGCAGCCGAGGAGTCGGCCTTTCCGCAGGCCGGGTCTTAGAGATAACGAGTTACGCGCTGTATGGTGAGGTTACACTTTCTCGTGCAAGGCAGATCGCAACTGCAAACAACCTCCGCCAGGGCGGTACGATGGATTCCCCCGCACCTGCGGGCTCTCAGCAGTCTAGAGGCTCTGAGCTGCCACCGCCGACAGGCGCCGATGCACGACCTTCAAGCGGGACTCCAGAGCAGGATACCAACACTGATCCCCGCAGTGGTCTGGTGCGCCGACAGGCACCCGAGCAGATTGTTGTTGGAGAGATACGACAAAATTTGGATGACCTCAAGTCCGCTATTCTCAGTTATTACAGCCGTCTATATTCACAACCGGGGAGGACCATTGAAGAGAGGCTGGATGCCCTAGCAGCACCGCCCTTCTCCAGCACTGTGAAAATGGGGCGGCTCCCATCTGTGGATCCTGCCCTCAGTCGTAGCAGGAAGCAACCATTCATCGGATTCCCACCCCCGAATACGAGCGTAGATTTTCTTGAAAAGGAAGGAGGTCGGTCGTGCACATAAGGACATTGAGTAGTGCATATCCAGCATCAACTGCTCTCGTAATGCTATATACATGTTTGTACAAGAATGTGTGCTGCGTTGTGAAGCGATCCGTGTTTAGATGACAGCTTCCATTCGCTTCTAAGGCAGTCGTGCTTATTTAACTTGTGAACTGTCATGACTACCATGCCATCAGATGCCCAAGGGCCAACCGACAAGGATCCGTCCATGACGTATAAGACGTTTCACGGTATTTCGCAGCTCCCCGGACACAAGGCAACCCCGGATATGAAGGGGTATGACAACCTCATGGGTCGTTCGCTAGACGAAGCTCGTGGAGGCCAGATAAATGAGCTGCTAGGAGATCTGCGCTTCAAGTGCACCGCTGCTTCCACAAGGCTCAACACGATAGCTGACCATCTCGAGCGCGAGTGTGAAAATCCCGACCTCCGCGAATGGGAGTACACGAGTTACCCGCAGGTTTGTGTGCGAGAGCCATTTCCATTGCAAAGCCTTGCTGCTGTGCGCCTCTTGGGCAATTTTTGTTCTCCGGGGTTTCCCTATTCAGAACAGGCTCCCGTTGGGGTAAGGCATTAATTTGCTGCTCAAATGTGAAGGTGATGCTCGTTGCAGGTTCGCCGCCAACCATATCTAGGACGCGACCCGGAGTTGCGGCGCCATCTGCTGACAATCTATCGAGAGCTTTGTCACCAGTCACAAACAAACCAGTTGCGTATCAATGCAATCAAGAGCAAGCTCAAAGTGTTGAGTTTACACACGCAGTCCGACATGATCAAGTTGAAGTCTGATCCGCGAATCGCTTTCTGACCTGGGGGCGTGTATGCGAGCAGTAAGCAGGAAAGCAATGCTAGAAACGGGGCCTAAGCCGCATAAAGGTTTGAATCACTGACGTGATAAAGGTTTATGCGGAGTCGGTAGTTTCACACCATCTCCATGGTAGAATTACCAATGCGGAAGGGCTCAGGCTAGGGGCCACGCTGGTGCAGCAAGAGTTGTGAAGGTTGGCACTCCTTCCACAATGCATGGAGCCTTCGAATACCTTCTACCTAAACCCATCGACTTTAGCATTCCAGTGTACCATAACTTTCAACCTGTCATGCGGCTGTCCGCTATGGGGACATTACCGTTTTGCTTCTGTTGCCAATCCGATATCAGCTGGCCTCTGCCTCTGTTAAAGTGCAGTCTGCGGTGCCATACCACGGCGCGCTTACGCCGCAGTTGGCAATAAGGATTGCCTTGCAACGAGCCTTCTTACGCAAAAGCTTGGCTCGTCTGCACAATCGCTTGAAATTTTTTGACAAGGTTTTTGTCAAAACGCAAGAGGTTTTCACACAGCGTCCCATTTTGTGATTCACTGCCCTTTACCCCCAATGCTCTGGCTACAAAGTGTACTACTTTTCCAGGAGGCATTTTGAAACAATTCGACAAGGCATTACAGAGAGTATGGCGGGCATCTGGGTGAGACATCATCCGCTCAGCAGCTCTGCATAGAGAAATGCTAAATATTTGGTGGTTCCACACGTTCAGATGGAATCCAGGTCAAACGACGCGAACTCGAATTCAACGTGAATCAGGTAGCGTATCTTGATTTGACGCTGCGACAAATTTCGAAGCGGACACACACGGCCACGAAAGTTGCTAAAGAGTACACATACGATTCGTATATTCACATCTGTTGTATATCTGTAGCGATAGTTCAACTCGAAGGGGAAGACCAGGGTGAGCAAGTGATGCTGCAGCTCACTGGGTCGTAAACGACGTATTCGTTATACATCAGGGCTGCATCAGGACTCCCGGGCGTGTTGGCCTTCAGCTGCACAGTCCGCATGCATAATCCGTTATCATTCACAAGCCTTACAGAGTAATTCATGGGAAGATCGGTGGGGGATGTCTCTCTGCAGGCTTTACGTTTAGCTGTCCCCTATCACGAATCCCTTTATGCTACCTATTTCTAAGCCAGGCTCGAGGGATATGTCGAAATACAATATGTGAAGTGCATGATAGGTGCTGCATACGTCGTCGACCGCCTTTGAGTTGTTCCAGCTCTTTCCACCGCAGACACGAACTGGCTTTCCATCAATGACCGATGAAATCTCAAAGTCAGAGTCTGGATTGGGGCACATGCGGCCCACGCCGTGCACGCTGTCTTCCCCTGCAGCGGTCAAAAGCGCCAACGAGTATTCCAGCCAAATTCACATGTAGTCCCCTGGCAAACAGGCCCGTTGCAACAGAAAGACGGTTGTTCAGCAATTGCTTGCTTACCATCACTTTTGCACTTGGTAGCCGCCTCATAGTCGGCCCCAAGGAGCTGGCGCTGCTTCCCCAGTGCCGCCTCACAAAGGACTAAAAGCCCATGCGGTTGAGCAGATGACGCGAAGCAGTACTGCGATGACTTGCTTACCTGCAACACAACGGTTCGCGGGAGTCAACCTACTGCATCCCGCTTTGCATTGCATTGAAGGCGCCAACCAACCTGTTCTACTTGCGCCATGAATTTGTAGGCGGAGGTGTCTGACCACACCCATACGTTGCAGTATTGTCAAACTGTCACACCAGTGGCGATTCCGTATGAATTATTGCTCAAAGTAGAAACATACCATATCGGCAAAGTAAATCCCTTTGTCAAACATGTACCCTGACGACGGCGCCTCTGGGGGGGCAACTTGCAAACCTTTGGCGAGAATACTTGGCCAATTTGTCTGCGCAGCGCAGGCCTCACTCTCTGAAATCTACTACTTAGTTAGGGAACTAAAACAACCCGAGTTCGCTCACAAAAGGGAAAAGACTGGCCTGAATAGTGTAGAACGAAACTGAACCTCAAACACGACAACCCAAACCAAAGTCATTCCGCCGACAACCACACAATTTATTCTGCATGGGGACGTGTTAGTCCAAAGATTAAAAAGAATACTGAGCTATCAATCGGCTAACCAAGCGGGAACCGTGCCACAATAGCATGCGGTTGCCCAGGTCCTTGTTGAAACGTTCCGTTTCTCCTTGGCGATCACACTTGAAGACGCTCTGGATCTTTAGCTTCCACGTGTTGTGGGTCGGTGCGTGGGTGTCTGCTACAAGCCGCTCCACCAGTTTACGCTCTTCGTGGCATTTGGGCAGCGGCTGAATAACGCAACGAGAAGAAATTGTGTTGGGATTGCACGAAAGTTAGAAACGGGCTTGCAAAGGCTGGCATGGGATAAAAATTCTCTGTATGCAAGGCACCTGACCGCTCCTAAACAGAGCCGTCTCTCCGAGTTGACTACAGTGCATCTCTTGTGAGATCTTAACAAAAGTGGGAATATAGTGCAAAGGAGTCTAAGAAAACCCAGTACCTCCAGTTTGCAGCGCAGCTGCTCGTATTGGGCATCCAGTGGGTGCTTGTCTCTAGCGTTTAGCAGAGCGTCTGTCAGAAGAGATTGCGCGACCGATATCTGCACGATAACACGACACATAAAGAAAGGCCTGGGATGAGTAAATCATCACATGTGTGGCATCCTAGCCGCGCAGTCTGAGTAGTCGAGTATGCGTCGAATAGAGCCCTAAATTCTGTAAAGGTCTGGGGAAGCACGTGCTCCAGCAGCACCTCTAACAGCTGTTCCATCATTTCGATCTTGGTCCTCAACTTTGCCAGTGAGTCAAGAACTGGAGGCCTTTCGGCGTGAGTGAACTGCAGGACAAGCACACACAGGACAAAAAGTGCAACTGATGCGGTGCATTGAGGCTTAGCCCATGCTGGTGCACGCATGCCTGTTTGCCACCTTCTTTTTAGGGCTCAGAACCGCCTCCAACTACGCGCTTACGACGTGTGGTATTTTGATGTAAAACCGATTTGTGGCGTCCGCTAACCGGGTCCTATTTTCAAAAACACACTGCAGTTCAACATTTGCGGGAATTACCTTTAAATTCCGCAGTAAGTTATAATCGCACTGAAATGCAGGACTACATGCGGGAGGGAAAATAAGAACGTTTGCTCACTGATGCTTAAGCGTGTTGATTTTTTCTGCGTCCTCGCGGAGGAGGTTTTGAATTTCCTAAGCACAAGCGTCAGGCACACAGCAGGGCCCTGTACACACCCGCGGATACAGGCATACGCAAAGAATTGTTGTGAGAGTCCTTAGGGTTAATGACGGGCAGACTGTACCTGAAGTACTGCATAGCCTTCCTGCAGCTGCCGTTTGGAAATGGAATCGATCGGGAGTTTTTGAAGGTTGAGATGCTGCTCGGTGAGCAGCTTCTCTGCCAGTTTACCTGAGGTATGGTCCACCCAGTGAATACCAAATAACCCACTTTCCTGCCAATACCAAAAGGCCCCCGTATTGTAAAACGGGCTAAGACAGGTGTGTAGACATTCCGGACACAAACCAAGACATACGATCAAAGATGAGCTCCACGATAGTCTTGACCTCTGGGGGTAGAGTGCACTCTGCCACAGTACTGCTAGCGCTGCATCAGAAACGCAGAAACTCCTGAAGAGTACAGTTGACAAAACTGTTTATAATGGGAGTCGAAGGCTTGAACCTACTGTGACACAGCAACCTCCCACAGCTGCCAGCTGGACTCTTGCAACATCACACCAAGCGCGTTACCTGGCAGCTTCAAGTTTTGCGCGTTTGAGCTTGGGTTCCTCAGTTGACCCATCTTCCATCTCATAGCCCGCCAGCTCAACAAAGCCATACCTACGCAGACAAGAGAGTATTACAGTAGCATGAACAACCCAGAATTGGGCTAAGACCGAATGCCTAACAGTAAATTCGTTTCTTTAAAGAAAAGATCCGACCCATTAGCGAAAGCACCTGCCAGGCTGCTGAACGAAGTTGAAACGGTCACTCCATTGGGTGCCAGTTAGCCCAAAAAATTTTGACTCAAATGCATCTGTAAGCACAGCGCAGAAATAAGACAATTTCGGGGTCTTCCCCTGAACGCCAAGAAACAGCGGGAAACCAAGTCTGCTAGACAACAGGTGGGATACACATTTCGGGCTATCACGTACCAACTGCGCCATCCACGTCCTGTCCAAATGACTGCTGCCTGAAGCCCACAGGATGTGAAAAACGGGAATGATAGTTTTCAAACTAAACCAAGGGTGAAAATTGGCGCATGTGGTGAGCATCACTGTTTACGGGCCTAGAGGCAAGTAGTGGTGAGGAATACCAAAAGGACTATTGCTGGGACACGATGCGCTGCTTGGCCCTTACTTGTAATCATTCGTCAACTTATCGTCAGCCCCAAGGCGACCCCACTTCGTGAAGAAGTGATATGCCTTGTTAGTTTGAACGATCTGCATGGAATAGTACTTGTTAATGCCTGAGTGCATCAGAAAACGGAGGCGCCGACGGTCCCTCAACGGAGAACGAGACAAATCGTCGGCAAGTCAAAGGGCCGGCGACAAACCTGACAGTCACTGACCTGTGCTGATGTCAGTAAATTGTGTGCAGCAATTGAAGGCATTTCCATACTTGTCCACGTAAATATGACCTCCCTTGCAACTGAATAGAGGATCCACCTAGTGCACCCATTCGCACTAATACATATAAAGCAATCATTACGGTATAGCCATTTTACGTTAAGTAGACAGCTTATTTGCCTCCTCCACGAAAAGCATCTTGTTACATCAAACTCCCCCCATTTTAACACCCCTTGGCCGTAGACGAGTTCCTGGGTTCGTGAGTCTACTGGAGCCATGGCGCGAAAGGCAAGGGAGCCGTACCTGCAAAAGCGGAGATCCCTTTGCGATGGGCGGGCGCTTCGTTCGAGAGTTATCCTTTGCGCGAGCTTCACGAAGCTGCTTGAGAGACTCTGTTGGACTTGGCAATTCGAGTGCAATTTTCCCCTCAACGAGATAATACTGTGCATACTTCCTTTTCCGTAAGAGCAGACCCTGGAGCACATAATCAAAGCAAACGAGCTTTTGCTGTCGAGCACAACAGGAGCTACAGGGGAAAATATACCCGCGATCTTCAAAGGACGCCACCTCCCAAGGGGCCTTAGACAGCCTGCAGAGCTAACCATGGGCCGAGGGTCCGGGCCGTCTTCCGGACCCTTCCATTTGCGACACTCCGCCAGCTTGAGCTTGGGCTCCACATTTTTCCGTCGTATTAGGGCCTTTATGAAGGAGCTCTGAACAAGCAACTTAGACCTGGAGACTCGTTGGCATGTGCGTGGTTCCACTCGGGACTCATGAGATAGCGGAAGACTCACACCTTGAGTAAGCGTTTGTTAATGTAACAGAAAAGTACTACAACTCATTCTGGCCGCGACTGCAGGCTAGTTTACTCATTGAACGCATAATAACTTTGCAGAAAGGTCATATAAAAAGCATCTGCGCCAACGCCAGTTTTCCGAGAGCAAATATGGAATATTTCTTGATTTCAAGGTGGCTCACATGCACAATAGGGACGCCTGCGGCTTTTGCATCACGATATTTTTTCGTGAACTCGTGACTGTCGCCGTCCCCGACCAACAGAAATGTTGTGCGCCCTTCGGGCTGCTCGCTGGCAGTGGATAGCCCAGGATAGCAAGGCACACGGAAAACACAACGATGGCAAGAACAGCTAGGCACCCAACTAAATTAAGGCAGCATACCACAGATGTGCAGCAGCACGGCATGCAACAATATCCTGCATCTGCAATTACCGGGAAGTGTACGGCTTAGGCCTAAACTCTCTGGCGAGAAACAGCTAACAACCATTCCTAAAAGTCGACCAAAAAGTCAAAATGCAGTTGGCTGCTGCCTCACGTGTACTCTCCGGAGTGTTTCTCGATCAAGAGTTGGAGCTCCGCCCTGAAACATTAACGAGCCACGAAACCAATGCCCATGTAGAAAACGGCGATGCGTCAGAAGGAAGTATCGGTGTCAGGAAAACGCCAGAATCTGGATATGGCAATTGTCAAAACAGCTAAGCAAAGTGCTTGACGGAAAAGAACCAGCACTTTCTACAGAAGCAGGGGAGGACCTGATCCTCAGGCACTAAACGGGAGCTGCTGGCAGAGGTTCAACATTCTCACTTCGGGGGATCAGTTGCGCCTACTGATGTAAAGCTAAGCCCCACAAGTTCTTTTCCAGGAGGGATAAATTCAGGTTCACCCGAATCTTTCTCCGCTTTGGGGCTGCACGTAGAACAAGGCAACAATCGTACATAGTATGATGATCGTATGATCATCATACTATTTCCTGACATCAGCTAAGCAGCATTGACGTTTTCTAATGTGGAGGCCCCTTCCAAAAGACTAGCGTTTACTAGAAACTCTTTCACGAGCAGCGCCGTCTGCAGACTTACGCTTTGGGAGACGGCGCACCTGCAGCAGCCACAACCCCCACAAGGACTCCCAAGCAATATTACGGCCACTACTCGAGTAATTTGCAAACATGTTTTGGTGAGCTATTTGTGGGTAGTTGTTTAACTAACTCAGTGGACTGCCAAGCTTCATACAGCCCTCGACACCTTCAGGGCACTTCCACTTCTTGAATACGGGGATTCGCTTTGCTTCATCCTGCACCCGGCAATAAATACGAAAATGCACACAGGCAGTACGGTTGTGACAGCTATTGATTGGGGGCAACTATTTTCTGAGCCTTTGGATTTTGCACAACAAACGTACCGGCAGCACGAAAAGCTCCTTCCGCTCTAGCTCTTCAAAAGAAACGCCAGTCGCAGAGTTGTCACAAACTTCATCTGGCCTCAAGATATCTGACACCACGAACGAAAAGACGCACTTTGTAGTTGCTGATACGTAGCCCTTGCAGTGAATTTCGCCTCCGTACTGCACCGCAAAAGCAGTACCTTCGCTATTCTTGCATATTCTTGCCAGTATCTTAAAGCCAATAATAGAAGTCAAGTATTTCTGGCAGCCGCCACTACTTGAGCAGGCTCTTCACGCCCGCATTCAGACATCTTCCAGTTAGTTCTTCGTTGTTAGTGGTTTGATGAGACACTGGACAGCCACTTACTTGGATAAGTGCAGAGTTCCCGCAGATAGGACACGGGGGGAATTTCCCAAACATGAATCCATCCGCTACAATGTGCGCAGCCTCGCCAATCTGCAAGCAGTGAATATGCGCGAACCATCGATGACTGCACACCTATGCCAACTGCTTCCAGACAGGTCACTAGCTTGTTACTGAGGAAAGCACGTGAGTCACCGATATTTTTTTCTCGTTGTAGGGAATTCCATTTGCATCCAGAATTGGCAGCAACTGTTTCTTTGGGATTTCCTGCAAGCGGAATTCCCAGACACACGGATAACGAGATCACGGGTGTGCAGCTGGGCTATCTGTCTACATCCAGCAGCGGCAGCCACTGCAGCAAGGAACGTGGCTTATGGCCAGCGAAGGCTTACCACAAGCAAGGCTTTGAGACTCCAAATCGCATCGCTGCGTCTTTTCAGTGCCTGCACTGCGGGACTGACGACGCCGCAGACAACACATGGATTTGGGTTTCAATACACGAACAAATTTCTATTTTAGATAGCAGCTAAGCACTTCGCACGGGTGAGATCAAAAATGGATTGCAAGCATGCAGCCTGTTGCATTTGAGCTTGATATAGCCTAGAAATACGCACTGATCCTCATCTATAGTTGTGTTGAAGCTCTTTGCAACTCGAAGAATGTCGCTCCAACGCAAAGCCTGCCACACTGTATCAAAGAAATATACAGGACACCACAGATGCAGCAATGGTTGGTTCTGATCGCCTTGCAACTGACGAGATCCACAATTCCCCCTACAGTGCCCTGCAGTGCTACAACCCTCCATAACTTACATCTAATTTCCTCGAGGTTATCTGTATACTTTTTGCCACACCGTAAGTGGTATTTTAACTCATCGAAGCCATCATGAAAACGGCTCCACACCTTTCGTATGAAGCGCAGAGAATCAAGACCGATGCGTCCATCACACCCCTGCACACACACAGAGACCCTAGTGATAGAGAGGGGGCCATATGAATCAACTTAGACAGATATTTTAGGGGGTCTTGCAGAGAGGGATGTTGGCAGGATAAACCTCTCCAGATAGCTGCACCGGCATCAAGTCTGTCGGCGAACCTTGCATGTAGCCCTGTCTGTCGGGGCATAGTCGATTGCATAGGGGTTGGGAACAGGGGGACGTTCAGTTTTGGGCACCATGTTGGGCAGCTCGAGGCTCGTCACGCCGTACTATCGTCACCACCCAATAGAGCTGAGTACGTCCTGGGGCAGTGTGTCGATTCTTATGTACGCCTAGGCAGAAAAACCGGCCCTTCGATTCATCTTCAAGGGGACAAGTATGATATTGGATGCTGGCGCTGGGTAGTTACGACAATATGACTCGAGCGGTGAATGACTCTGCTGTCTTTTCCAGTATCCGTGACTCCGTCAATGCAGATGCCACAAGGTGAGGTTAATGTTTTGTCTTGGATCAATATGAAGAAATTTCGCTGAAACATCGGGGGAAAGCCCGCTAGATCACCAACAACACGTGGTGATGCCCCCACGGTGTGTGTGGGGTTGTGGTGCCACACACGTGACCAACATATCAACAATGATACTCCTACCTGTTTGAATGAAAACACTTATTTTTAACTAAGATGATCTACTTTCCTCCGTAAATTGAAATTAAGTCCCCTTCTCCAACGTATTTACCAAGTTATCCCGCCCCCCTTGGAGGCCCGGTGACCACTACGAACTCCGTGCAGTGAGGTTATGCTCTACAGCGACAAGTAAGAAAAGAGGTTCACCGGTCACTGCGAAGGCACGTCAATGCCTACAAGGCGCCATCTTCATACTTTACTCCATTCCCAACAATTCCAATAATTCGTTGGCTTGCCGTCCTCCCACACATGTTCTTCCTTCCTGAACGATTGGAGGGCTCAAGCCATCCCCACGGCCTCCTCCTACAAGCACTGGCCTTGCTAGTAGTTCAACTGTAATGTACCATCAACGTGCCATAGACTTAGGCGACCCCCCATACAGGAAGCCTGGCACCCCTCTAAAACAAAATCGGGAATGCACTTCCTTGCCCGATCTTGTTTTAGGGTTACCAGTACATTTGATGGGCACCTCAATCTCTACTGTGAGCACTTCCAGATTAATAACTAGCAACAGCTCCAGTGGATCTATTTAATCTAACGAGGCCATGAATTATCTACTGACGGTCGTCGACTACAACCGTGGTGAAAAAAAATATACTAACAGCTATGCAGAAGCTTCCTATAAAGTTTAGTACCACTTATGGGAACAGGCCCCCAAGTTCGCCAAAGACGGAACCCAGCTGATAGCCAGGTGCTTCTTCAGCACGTCATACTGAGCGGAAACAGCTAAAGTGCCTCCCCCAATGCGATCCCCACCATTCCTTCCACACGGACAAGAACAAGGTCCAGATTAGAACCTGAGTTTCTTCCGGAGGAAGAGAACGTCTTTCGACACCTTCCCAGCCTTCTCGTTGATTGGGTTCATGAACTTCTCGTAGAAAATGCTGGCCAGGGCCTTCTTAGCGGCCTTCCGTGAGGCACTGTCTTCCAAGGCAGAATCTGGAACAAGGGACTTCACGTCGAAGTCATTGCTAACGGTGTACCTGCAGCAGCACCAATGAAACTGAGAAGCATATAATCTTGAAGAGGCTTCACACGACAGAAACATTGCCCACGTACCAGACGGCGAGCGCAGATGTATCTACGGAGTAGCTCAATAGCTCAATATCTCCTGTCACTCCTCACCTAGTGGGCATCAGGTGGCGGACGTTGACGTAGCGGATGAAGGCCTTGGGACGCATGCGCTTCTGAACCTTGATAGCACTCATGCGTTTGGAAACCTTAAGGGGGGCCTTCTCAATTCCCGCCACTAGGCAATAGCAGAAATGACGCTCCTTGGTGCCCTCCGAAGTGTTCACCACTATACCCTTCTTACCGGCCATGCGGCCGTTGAGGACCACCACCACACGTCCAGGCTTGAGCCTGCACAGCAGAAACGAAGGAAACGCAGGCTATGTTCACGGTGAGGAAAGGATGAATAACCTGAAAAACGAGGGGTCTCGCCAAGGTTAACCGGTGTGCACGTAGCACCACCATCCCTATGATAAGCAACACAATAATGCAACAATTGGCCACATCACAGGACACCTTCCCTCCTTTCTATGCAGACAGGCAGGTATTGTATAAGGGAATGGCGAGGCCCGCAAATCCCCATAACACCACACAGCTACATGTTCGCCGGCCGCTGCCCCCTCCTTTCCCTTCTGATCTGACAGTTCCCGTCACCACCCAACGTAAAACACTACTCCACTTTATCCCAATCCACTCTAATGCATTCTACTGCATCCACTGGAGCCCAACTGCCAACATTACGGCGGAGCCCCCCACAAGGGGGGACCCGTTGGTCCAAGGGCGGGAGCCCCGCCTTTTACTTATCCATGACATTGGTCACAGCTAAGTAGAAATGGAGAGAAAAGAAAATATGACAGATTGGAAACAATGTAACGCCTTCCCCCACACAGCGCCGGGGTACGTGCGGCTGCGGATCGGGAGCACAAAGACTCACAGTTTGACCATTTTCCTAGTTCTCCTTGTAGAAGTGGCAAATTCTCAATGCCTGGAAGCACCGGAAAATTTAACGTAATCATTCGATGGCTTCGTGGATGAAGGTAACTTCAGCACTGTTTCATGCCAGCCCCCTGTAAAGCGGTGCAGCCCTCTCCGGCAGACTTTACGGCAGCCCCACACCAACAAAAGGCACTTTAACTTCCCTGCACTCCCGAGGTGACGTGTTAATTTTAAACAAAAAGCATTCATATTCATGTAGGAAGCTTTTCTTTAGGAAGCCTTGTGAATTTTGCCGGCTTTTTCCCTTGTCACTGAGGACGGGGGCGACGACACAGTGCATTCGTCTACCCTTACTTTATCAGGAGCGCTCAGAGCATTCTGGATGCATCAATGTTTGTGTGTACGCTGGAAAATGACAGACAAGGAGGAATTTAAGGACTGTCTTTAGTGTTAATGCGGGCAGCAAACAGGGCTCGGTCATGCATGCATGTGGGGTTGCCTTGCAGACTATCGCGTGCACCGTGGTCTGTGTAGCACAAGCTGTCCGCAATCGACACAGAAACACTTACTTTGTTGCCAGGTGTACGCCCGTAGCAAGCTTGCAAGCAAGCAGAGGCTTTTAGCAATTCCATCCAGGGTTAGTATAGAATACCCGGTTGCGCTTGCGGGCGGTTCTGCCGCACTGCATGGGCTGCGGAAACGTGGGCCCCAACGCTTGACGGTTAGCTTCCTCTCCCTCAGCCCAACGTGCTTGTGTGTATGTGCCGAGGACCCGTGTAGAATGGGGTGGTAGGGAAGCTGCTCTTACGGCACGTTTAGCGAAGGTATTTGGCTTCATCGCAGCTCAGAGATGTACTCACATAATATTAGGGAGCCGCGTTGCCGCCCTCATGAAGGTAGTTTGCGCATTTTTGTTTGCTGTCAAGATGGCCCCTTGTAACCGACTAGTGTTGAACAGTTTTGTAATGTCCAACTGCACATGTAGCGGAGGAAGCACGGGTTCGCTTGCATACATTTCTGCTTTGCAATAGTTACAGCACCGTGTATTCCAAATCACAGCAGGCTTCACGCTTTTCTCATCAGTCCAGGCGTTTGTGCAGCTGAGCCCAGGGTAACTGTACACTGGATTGTGGCCAGTTGCATTGAGGAGAAGCGGAGTTTTCGCTCTTCGCTGATGTCGCCGGTCCTCCACTATAGTTAAGGGCACAGGTCCCAGTTGGAAAACCTACTTGGCTCAGGCAACCGCGAGTTGCAAACCTCACCTCCACAGGCTAGCTGGTGTGTGACGCCGTTGTGCGAAAAAAATGGGAAATTGATCCAACTGAATATTCGCAGAATATCCGTCAGAATCAGGAGATTCATCAGGGTTTGCCTTCCGGTGGGTGGCTGACAGAAGAAAGGATATATGCCTAGAGGCTTTTGAAACCGATCAGTGCTCAAATATTCAAGTGCATTGCTCTCGCGAAGGAACTGCACGAAGAATGTCCCTCCCTTTGTTGATAGTCCAAATGTGAGTTGAGCAGTGGTGCGGAAAGGTGGAAGAATATTCTGTTCCTCTGGCGGCGTAGGTTAGTTTTCAAAATTAGCAGAACGGGAGACACCTACTAATACATCTCCCGTATAGAGAAAGAGGAACGACAGTGGGTGAAGGGGATAAAAATGTACCACAGTGTGCCTATAGTTGATGTTTGTGCTTTTACTAGCAAGAATTCTGGATACTGAAGACCAAGCAAGTGTATAACAATTGGTTACAATGCTACTTACTGCGTTCACCACAAAGGGGGTAGGTATACTTTAATGTGGAGTTGTTTGCAGCAGTACTTGCAGCAGAGTGCTCAAGCATGCGCCACAAGAGGGGCTGGGTATACTTGTATGTGGCGTTGCCATGCAGCAGAATTTGCTGAAAAGTGCGTTTCGTTGAATCTCGTGTGGGGCCAGTTGATCTCCGCACCTGCCGTTGACCCTGGAGGATGTGCGGGAAAGATGTCTGATTCCCGTAGGGGTGGTCAGCTGGTTTCTGGGAATCCTTCCCTAAAGTGTTCTGGCCACATTACAACTCGCGGTGGCCCTCAGCTAAGTGCGAGGACTCGTTTCAATCGTCATACACCTTCCCTGGTGATGCATGGGCAGTATGCCAAGAATATCCCTATTTTGCAATACAGACCACGCCCCACCTTACAAAGTTAGCCCTGTATAACTTGGGATTCTAGAGACGGTAGCCCAACCATGAACAATTATTCACTTCCCTGCTGCATGCGGAACAAGCGTTTGCGGCGAGGTGCTGCAGGCGTCAGCGGTCCCCGGCCCCAGCGAGAGCTTCCGCTATTCTACCTGGGCAAGCGAAGACAGAATCACGAGGAATATCAATGCAATGCATTCACCATATGCTTGCATTTTGCTTGTTGAAGTGGCGAAGGATGTTACGAAGGAGGCCATAGACTGACTGTTTGTTCATGCAGGTGCGGATTCCCCGCCACTGTTCGCCTTGGCATCTCTTCCTCTTTGTGGCCAGTACGGTTCATCCCCACTTGGGGAAAAACTCCCAAGGCTTTTGTACCTTTCATGTCTGGAGGGGTTGGCTAGAGAGCACAGACATTGACGAGTGAAGAGGCGGCGTCCGGCCCCTCAGTGCCTCGTGTCGAAACCCGTGGCTTCGACGAGGGGACCGTTGTTTTTCGATTGTTGCCTGCCTCAGCAAAGTTTCGGCAAGATCTGCACATAGGGGAGAGTTCGGACGACGGGGGAGAAGGGCTGCTGGAGAAGGAAGACATGGAGCACGACGAGCCATGGCGGCAACCACCGCTCCTCTTGTAGGTGGGTCGTCGCCCTGTCGCGACTTGCCCTCGACAGGCGTTTCCAAAGAGCATCCTTCTGTGAAGCTCCGACTTGCACTCCGCCGTCTAGGCGTGGGGAGGAAGGAGATATCTCCGGACGAGCCCTTCCTTGAAAGCCTGTCTGAAGACGATAGTCCTGGGAGCGAGTCCCCACGTAGTCCTCCTACATGGTCCTCTTCTCCGTGTTCACACCCTTCACATCCCCTATCCTCTCAATTTGGAGACTTGGACGAAGTCTCACTGTCCAAGTTCCGTCAGCGTAGCAACCGAGCTGAAGCCGAGCGACGTAGTCGGCAATGGCTATCCGGTACGCTGGCTCTTTTGGGGGGTATGATGGCCATGGTTCTTGCAATGTATCATCTACGGTTTGCCTTGCCAGTGCTTAAGAAGGGAGCCGACTCCAGCGTGCCCGCGGGCAGTTCGCGCTCTTACCATGCGACCGCTGCGCCCTCTGCAACGGTCGCTGCTCCACCGGGGATCGCCGGCAACATCCAGGAGGCTATAGCGTCCAAAATTGCAGTCCGGCGTCAGTGGATGTTTGGAATTTTTGCTATTGCTCTTTCAATCTTCTCTGCCAAATTTGTGTCGAGGCTGCACGAATGGACGCTGAACGCTCGCCATTGGCTGTACCCGAGGCGAGTAAGCCGCCTACCGGTGCACTCCAAGGTGGACGAAGAATTTGCAGAGCTGTACAGTTTAAAAGACGACTCAGCTGGGACAAAGGATGACTTCACAGATCCACTGGTCATCACAGCCATCCGCAAGTGTCTCGATGACTACAGAGCACTAAGAAGGCAGACCCACCAATCTGCATTTGCAGTTTTCTTCCACCTGGCGGCGCAGAGTCGCAGGAGGCAAATAGCTTATTCCTTGTACAGAAACGGCTGGGACGCCATGCACGCCAAAGTGGAACAAAACAGGCCGGTGTTGAGTGGTGAAGTAGCTGAGATCCTGAACAGGCAACGAGCGCTGCGCCTGCAATACAACCGCATGAAAGATGAAGTTCAATTTGTTCTAAGCGAAGACAATTTGCCTCCGGGCCTCTGCCAGGAAGAGCTGGAATTTCTCACAAGGGACTTCCGCCCAGCACTGCTCGAGCTTGCGAACCACACCATATACAGCTTGGACATGGATCGCAGGTTCATTGAGGCGTCCATCAGATTCCACCCCAACATCCAATATGTGTGGCATGAGGAGGATAGCTCAGCGGGTGATGGCCTAAATAAGATAAGTGAGCAATCAAACCTTCTGGAAGCGCTGCAGCAGCGGCAGGACCAGCGGGTCAGTGAGGACAATAGGAGCACTCCCGAAGACCAGACGTCTGAGAACAGCAGTGAATTGGCAATGCATGAAAGCCAGTTCTGGGATGCGAGACGAGCTCTCTCTAGCTACCGTAGAGACACTTTTATGCCGAAAGTGCCCGACTTCGATCGCTGCTTTATCCCAGAATTGCCACTCTCGTTGTTTGCATACTGACATAGAACATTCGCGACGGCTGCCTGGCTGACGCGAATTTATTTAGCAACCTGCATTTCAAGACGAACACCTGCATATTTTAAAACTCTTGAAATGCGTTAACTCGGAAATTGCACGGGTAGTGATTCAAGCTGCACTACACTTAGAATACGGACGTGCCCCAACGACTAGAAGCCCCAGTGGGGGCGGAGTCGACGTAACCTTTAGAATGCAGTGCAGCCACCTGTGTAGGAATTGTTAGGACGCACGTACTGGTAGCCTGCCAAGGAACTGGCCTCGGTAGGCGAGACTGTGGTACCCGCAATGCACCAAATCTGTCTTCCGGCACTAGCAGGAACTATCAATCGACAGTCCCCCCGCTACGGTATAGAGACATTTTGTCATGACGGGTTACCTCATGCAGCAAAAAGTGTTAATGGAACCAATCTGAAAGGATTAAGGTCTTTTGGGTCAAAAATGTGTAAACAGGGATTCGAACTACAAAGGACTTAATCATCAGGAAGGTAGCATTCCTCGCATCCGACTGCCAGCGCATTATCTGCCGGCAACAAAAATCTAGTTATAGAGTGTTATATATGTACATATATATCAAGCAACAGCCTTAATAGTCGATCAAGCCGCAGCTCTTCCTCTTTCAGCATGCACACCTGAAGACGCATGAGGGGACGCAAAAAACGTTATCTCAAGTGGTAGGGGAGTTTTCAAATGCATACGAAGCTCTGTTAGCGGCTCAGCCAGACGTTCACATACACATCGGGCTGGGTCCTGAGTGCACGCAAATTTGCATGCTGCATATTGCTCCAACCGGAGGACTTGCATGGTGGGTCTCTTTCATTCCCCAAATAACCCGCGTATGTCCTCCAAAATGTCATCGGGGTCGTCTAAAGCTGCATCCCCGGCTTCCCTGTCGAGGACTATGGTTTCTTCCAGAGGCGGAACAGCTGCACTCATCAGCAGCAATAGGTCCACCGGGCCACCGTTATTACTCTTGTAAGCAATACGAAGCGTCCAGGGCTTCATCCAGTCACATTCTCTGGGTAGAGGACTGCTGAGGTGCTGCAGCTCTGGGTTTTGGAATCCTACTCGGGCACGAGCACTTTCTACCACAACGATTGGGGAACCCCTAAAAGGTCTGTCGATCGTGATGTGCATCACACAGTCATCGTACACCTTCCACGTGGGGTCCTTTCCATAGTTCGATAGAAGTTCCTCTAGATCCGTAGCCTCCATCAACTCCCTGGGCACAGCCAGCGGGCCTGGGTTCATATCAAGGTCCACAAGTAAGCGGGCAGAAGCTCCCTTGTCTTCCTTAACTTGAAACTTCGAGTAAGGTCCAGCCATGCACGAATCCGGGACACGGATTTGTTCTACTCGACGGACAAGGTTCCTCCCGAAAGAGGAAAAATACTTGAACCAGTTGAAAATTTCGCGACCACGCGAGCACTGTAAAGCGGGCTTTTCCAGGTATTCCACGGTCAGCGTCCTGCTCGTGTTGTTCACTTCTACTCTTTCAACGCTTGCCACTCTACCCATGGCCTTTAATCTTCTCCCCTTGGCGAAGTCAACAAGCACGTGGCACTTCTTCGGCTCCACTGTGCTAATGAGAGGACTCGAAATAGGCAGACGGCGGTGCAGCCGTCTATTAAGTGCCACAAATCCTGCAATTAACAGAGCCCCAAAGGCTAGCCCTCCCGTCATTTTGAGTAGTGTTTTGTGTTCGGCGGCAGCAGCCTTTGTCCTTTCCCAGAGTCTCGGCCGGCTTGATTGAACATCGGTGGTTAAAGGCGTATGCCTTGCTTTTAAGCTATCACACCTGCTGCCTGTAGTACACGCTGGTATACTTATAAGCGGCAGCGGCGGCAGCTCCAACGCAGCTTCCCCCTTGCTCATTGGCAGTGAGGAAGTCTGCGGTAAGCTCTCGTCATTTTTATCAGGCTGATGCAAGGGTGTCTGAACTGCCTCCTCACTCGTGCCGAGGGGTTGCCGGGAACCGTCTTCCAAGAGGGACCCTTCATTCTCTGGCTCTCTCCCTCCCATCAACCCGTCCGCAACCTTGTCCAGCGGTGACGACCATTTTCCAACCGGACTCGATGCCTCCATTCCTTCCACATATGGCCCTTCTTTGGTGTCCAGACCTGGTGAAGTTTCCCCGAATACTAACTGATATTCAGCTTCAGAGGGCTCCTGTAGCTCTGCAATGATGTCGTCTACCTGCTTTGCAAGATCGTCGATGGGTTCGTCACTCGCATCCGTCGGGGATAATAAGCCACTACGGCTCTCTTCCACTGGTTCCTCATCAACGGATGGCATCCACTTCGGTGCAACACCAACATAGGGAGAGTAGTCCAGCAGCTCTTTAGTGGACTCTGGTATCGGCTTTCCTGGCAGAGATGGAATAGAGGCCAGTAACTTTTGAGTTTCCGGCGAGAACTGGAGGGGTTCGTCAGTTTGAGGGGAAGGTGTCGGCGGCGGAGAAGCCCTTAGCAACTCCTCTAAGTTCATCAGCCAATTACTTTGGGGAGGACTGTAATGCTCAAATTCATCACCTTCTGAGCTACCTTCAGACTTTGGCCCGTCAGACGTTGGTACTTCCAGCTCTGGCAACGGCGTCGTCAAAGGCGCCTGGGTTCCGACTGACTCGGGAGTCTCAAATACTTCAGCGGGCTCAACGGGGTCAGGGACACTTGATGCATCTGATGCACTTGCCCACCCAGAAGTCTCAAATGGTTCTGGCGAACTGGCCGTTGGAGTTAGCATCTGGGGGCCAGGCGATGGCGTGCGAAATCCCCGTTTCTCGCGTGTGCTGTAGTCCTTGTGCAACTCAGATTGGAATGGCTGCGCACCACCCGAAGGCCCTTGGTGTGCTAACAAAGGGTCGCCCTTCACTTCCTGCGCTAGCCGTCGCAAATCCGCTGAGTTCAGCACAATAAAAACAAACCCAATCAGAATTGGAGGAGAGCAAGAACAGACAGACTGCAAATGTCTCGGAAAGGGGGCAGCACAGCGCTGCCAAAGCTGAGTAGGGACAAATGGAAACCTTACATGACCCTATGCTGAGGTGATTTGCAGCTCTCCTTAGAAGATCTGTCCTTGTGGATGGCACGGTTCTGTCGACAAATCTGACTCCCTCCGATGTAACGGCTATAACTGCCTTCATCAATTCTTGGGGCGGAATATGCCCATCCGCCAGCATCTCGTCCAACCATTCATGCACTATAGAGACTTCTGTTCACATGACACAAAACACACATGAATCGACTGCAGCTTGACATAGAATTTTCCGCAAACCAGCCATGAGGCGGTCGAATATTTACCAGCAGAGCTTACGGATTGTTGAGCCGTCCGATGATAGTCGCTTCCGCAAGTGCTTGGCTGCGTGGCGAGCTGTGTGTGGGGAAGTTGTACTGCCAATAGACCTCCTAGCCGGCGATACTCTCCGGGAGCCCCCTAACGGCAGGTCACCACAATACACCAAAACTGGATGAGCTATCAAAAACAGCAGTAGAGACACTGGAGCGGAATACTGCGTTTGTGACCACTCCACAGCATAAACACGGTATTCGCGGCGAAGCCGGTGGAGGCTTATTCCATATTTAGCAGTTGAATAGCAAATAACCGTCCCCCATTTTCAAACGCAGACCAACCTTTGCTCGAAGAAGCAGAATTGGCTAAAGCAGAATTGGCTGGAGATTTCGCGGAATGTTCTACTCCTGTAGAGGTAGATCTGCGGGCTGCAGGAAGACTCGCACGTTCACCACAAGGCCTGATTCGCATGAGCTTCACCGTCGCATATGCCAAGCCAAGATATATCATGTTCTTGGAATGTAACCACCTCAACGGCCCCACGACGATGCTGGAGGCCATGTTGAACCAGCATAAGCACGTCATTCAACGATTAAACCGAAATCGCCACGACACTCTAAGCAGTGAGGAGCCAAGATCACGTCCAAAGAACACAACTAAAAAAGCGCGCGAGTGCATATACTTACCCACAGAAGATCTAGCACTTTGCTGCGCCGGAGCAGGTGGCTGTTCCAGCTCGACCGCTACGGTCTGTTCGACCTCAGGCAATTCAGGTTCACCAGCACCAGTGTCATCTGCAGAACACACCAAAATACTTGCCGAATTCTACAAGCGGCTAAATTTAGGGTCCTCAAAACGGTAGTACGCAACGTTGTCTACGCCATGCCTGTTACAGCCTTCAACCAAAGGAGACTCGGTAGCAAGGCAGTCAACTAAACGCCACCATGCGACACTCCACTCACTAGGCACTACAATGTGCAAGAGACAATTCTCTAGAAGTCATCTCCCTAACTTACCTTCGGTGCAGGCGGCAATTGCTCCTGAAAATGCAGCACAAAGCAGAGTGGTCCTCCATATTAACCTCCTCTAAGGTGAGTTTGCCACACACTCAAAGTAACATTCCCCCATACTGATCTCCAAACCTGTTAGGAAGGGGAAATCTTACCAGCCGCTAGAGAAAGCAAAAACAAGAGAAGGGAAAGGAACAGGAAGCGCGACCTCCGTGTTCTGCCTCGTTGGGGGCGTAACCGACTCATTTTACCCAACTATGGATCAACAAGTTTGTATTTTATCCACCTGTCCACTAAACGCTTCAGTGAAGATTGAAATACAAGGCCCTAAGAAGTAAAAACACCAAAAGTAAAAGGCACCACCAACAAGACCACCCGCCACCGAACGGTCACAAGGGACAATGACCGACCCCAGTCAGCCTTCCCACATATTCCCCAATTAAAAATCAAACATTAAAAAACAAACACTTCTTTACTCAGTTCCCTACAACGCAAATAACAGCAAGTGCAGCATGCCTCCCCGTAACGCGATCGATCGTCCTGGGAGCAGCAGAGGACTAGCCTGGGCAACCTCTGGCTATCGAGCATAGAGCGCTGCATGGAAATCCTGACTTTGAAAGCTTATTATTCCATGCTAAGTGTTGATACGGCCCTTTAGTCCTGTTCTCGAAGTCTGTTGTGGGGGCCTGGATGTTCGAGGAATTGCTATTTAGGAATATTTAGGAAGATTTGGTCACGAACGCGCCAACGTGCTTTGTAGTGCAAATGAGGGAGAACGTCGGTCTACGCCACCGAGGAGAATTCGTCCTGTCATCTACTCGCTTCTGGATAATTTACTGTTGCTCCCGCTATGGCACTTGCCTGTCCCATGAAGTATTGGTGGCTAGGAGACCAGGGTGCTGAGATTGTAGCATACCCATTGTAACGTTGGCATGTATTGTCTGTAGCATGACCCCTCACTTGACCTCAGTATGCATCCCGCACTCAAGAAGTAGGGTTCAAAGGTCAACAGTGGTCTTGCATTAGCCACAAGATTTTTAGCTGTGCTTGCATGTGGGGCTGTCTTATACCTCGAGCTGCTGCGAGACACTTCATCTCACGCCGCCTCCTATCCCCCAAACCCAGGCGCTACGGTAGGTGTGGGCAGGGAACCTCGACACTCAGAAAGGGCGTCGGCAGCTTTTAAGTGTTTTAACCGCATTGCTGGTCGCGACAATCCCTTGGTACGATCGAGGACGTTCGTTGCAGAGCAGCATAACGGTGCAAAGTCAGCACCCTGAAAGGGAGCTTCATTAAAGGTGTTCAATCCTCTTCACACAAAGCCGACTGAAAAGCCCATATGTATGATAGTGGGTGGACATTTCTGTTTCCACTGCGGTGTGTAGGTCCCACAAGCTGTAACGGCATTGTGCGGTAAACGAAGAGCCAGAAGAGATATATCAGAAGAGAAATCACCATCTGTTTCAATATTCTGGAATTTACCTGGGCTCTCTCGTTTTCCTAGTCGTTGAAGTTTACGTTGTTGGGAATTGAGCTGTTGGGCAAGCTGTCCCTGTACTTAGCTTCTAACGTGGCCTAATTTATACCTGCATTATCCAGTTTCCGCTGCGGTTCAGAGCGAGTTCGCATGCACAGATAGGATGCTAGTGGTTAACCAGGGGGAGGACTACAGCAATACTTACTTACATCTGCAGTTTCGAGCGGACAGAGCCTCCTGGCGCAACTGCATTTTTGAGAAGCTTAATGCACCATGCAGAGCAAGCTCTGTAAATGAAAGTATAGAGGAGCAAGCGATTTTCCACTCAGCGTGGACGGAAAAGCGAGGGCATTCAGCAAGGAAGGAGCGGTGCTTCCGGACTGTAGATGCCGCCAGTTACGAGATTTCACGAGGCTGCTTCCGGCACACTATCCACAGAAACTACTACACTAAGGTAGGGGTGGATTGCCAAGGGACCCATTGTAACTTGATGCATGAGCGGACAAGCAAAACAATCGATGCCTTTGAGCTGGCAAACAGACGCAGGTTTAGTCAAAAGATTTGGGCAGGAGAGCAATTAGAGGCAGGTGAAAGCAAAAGCAAATACTATCTGGCAGCCGTTATACATAACGGAAGCAATTAAGTAGGAGCAGTATAGGACGCCGTTGCAATGAATCCATGGTTAAGAAAGGTGAGGAAGGGTTCTGTAAGGGGCCCTGCAGCCACCCCCCCTCTGACATTAGTACAAAGGGTGTACGGAGAACAGTTTATGAGGTAAGAAACGTGTTTCTAAGGAGACGTGAATCTCTGAAAATCTGTCTGCCTTCCGGAACATGATCATCGAAAGCAAGCCGAGCCGCTCACAGGGTTACGGTGATGTGAAATATACACAACCCCAAGGGTCAAACAGTTCCGTAAGGAGTAAATCAAACGACCAAGAAGTTGTAATGTGGCATCAACTCGAGCTCTAATAGTTCCCGGTCTAACGACGTGGTTGCTCCTGCTCGAAAGGCGAGGGCAGGGTGTGCAGCATTGGATGTCTGCAGCATCTATATGCATTTTCCAATCTACGTTCATCACTGTATTTGGAAGACACAAAAATGCAAACGTGGGAAGCTTTGTTCTCAGTCGTACTTCACTTGGAAACTTCTAACTGGTTGTCAAATTCGACCGGTGTGCGCGTTTTCTGTCATGAAGAAGAGCAGGTGATTTCTGTCTTGAGCTACTGAAGGCAACCACCTGCTTCTGCACAGTCCAAATATTATGGAGAAAAATATTCTCTCTGAAGGAAAACTTTTGCTACCCCAGACTATCCCAGAAGCCGTCTTGTTTCCGAGCTGCTGGTTTTGCTTCGAGGCATCCATGGGTCTGTCGCTTGCTGCAGATTTTACAAGGGAGTCCCCTGACTAGCCCTAATGCTCCTACGCTGCACAAAAAATAAAACATTTTAATTGCATGCTACGAAGAACTTGCTTCTCTATTATTGGGCCATTCGGGTGATATGCGACCACGAGACCACTGGGCATCTCCGTGCAGCGTCGGCTGCGGTCAGTTGGGCAGCAGTTTCCCTCTCCGCCTCCACAAAGGAGAATATATGGAATAGTCCACAACGATTTTCAGTAGCTTTTAGTTTTTATCCAAAAACGTATCCGGCTTCGAGCCCATCAAGCCCGGTCCTTAACATCACCAAATCGGGGGCTTCATCTCGACCAAAGCGGCGGCGCAAGGCTAACCAAATTTTTGCCGGAAGTTAGGGGAAAATAAGTGCTTTGACGATCTCTTGTTTGCAGCGTTTAAGAGAGTGCCTCATTCTGTTTTTTTGGGTTGTCTTGGTCTGCACATCTGAGGTCAGTCGGTCAAGATGTCCATGTGCAGCTGCAACATCAAGGGCATCGGCCCCTTCAACCTGGCGGCTTGCGTCGTGATATTTTCGCTGTACAATATGCTGAGTTCTACTGTTGAACTATGTGCTGTTATGAGGAGGAGCGCCCTCCAGGGTGCCTCGGACTCTGTCGCAGCCTTTAACTTCTTCTCGTCGTCCTTCACTATCATCGCCGGGGCTTTGGGAGTCCTCTCAACTGTCACGAAGTCCCACCGATTTGTTTTGGTTGTTCTAGTTGTGGCGATTATGACAATGGTATGTGATGCAGGAGAGCTAATAGCCAATGCATTATCGGGTGCTCCCAGCGTGTTTCAGTTCATCATGACGACGCTCCACTTCATGCTCAACTCCGTTGCCATGGTGGTATTTTTGTCGTATTACCGCGTCTTGAAAAGAGGTGGAACAGGCAGAGAAAGGATGTCACCTGACGACTTCAAGAATATGGAGGACGCATCCACAGAGAACGGAGAGAATCCTCTCTCTAGTCCTAAAATGGCTATGGCAAAAGAGGACACGCCATTGATGGCATGAAGGGAAACAGTATAATGAGTTTTAACTTGATGCAGGTGATGCTCGTGAAAACTCGTTCTACACACAGTGTGTACACGAGGCGTGCACTACAACAACCGACGGACTGTTGCCTCAAGAGGAGTCCACCACACAGTCTGCATGTCTTCTTATTGAAACCATCTGTCAAATATATTAAACGCGTTTGCAGATTACTGTGGATTTCTGGAAAAACTTGCCGAAATCGAGGGGAGTACATTCACAAGTACACGAGGGATGGAGGGCATGTGATCGAGTTGAGGTAATATGACGGCAGGAGTTTCACTTGATCAATTTTGTAGCCTACAAAGAACATCGTGAGAATTGTTTGTTTTTTTCAACTGAAGTTCATCGCCGAATTTGCCAGCAATATGTGCGCGCGCGCTGTCAAATTCACGTGGACTAATCAGTAAGCAGGGTCGGCCCGCGCCTCTTGCCGTTTCTGTTTTGCAAATAAGAATTGGACCCTTAGGCAGATTTGTTCGCAAAATGTCGGTGATTTCATTTACAAGGTTGAAGCAGAGGTATGCGGCTGCTTCCTGTGTGGTTATGAACTATAAATTTTCACTGATCGCACCCTGACGTGTATAGAGAATACCGGCAGAGCCCATAGGCTTTCTCATTCACTTAAACACAATTCTTCTAAATTTTACTTTTGCATATTTCCCTCGCTTCTATATTGCAAGCTGCTATTTTCAGATTCCGCAAGTAGCGCTAGAGTGTATGGCGGGGTAGCAGAGGTGCAGGAGGTCGTAGACAACCCCAATATATAGTATTTCCCTTATGTCTTATGTCTTTATGAAAAATACGTTGAGAGAAGGTTTACAGGAACAAGTACAAAGCGCCGAACGCGGTCGTGTCGCCTGAGTCGCAACGGGTCTCAAGGAACTGTTACCACTACAGGAGTCTCGGTAGCCGGCAAGTGACTGCGGCTTGCGCGCGTCACCAGGAGATGAACCTCCTCGCAAAAGGAGTTAAATAAATAGGAATAAACACTTTTACTCCTGTCTCGCCTGATAGACGGGAGGTTTTAGGACCAGTTGCTGCCTGCCCGCTCGACGCGAGCATCTGAGCGTGCGGTGTGAGGTGTAGCCTAGCTGCTGTGACCCGTGCATCTCTTTCCTCTTCTCTCACTCCATTTGAACGAGTTTTAGAAAAAGAAAGATATACAGGTTTTCTGAATTATTCTAGACACAAAAAGCTTCCGGCAGCGAGGAGGAGAGGGGCCCTGCTGAGGAGAGACGGCAGGGGAGACGGCGCGGGCTGGAGTCGAGCACGGCGGCTCGGAGGGTATTTTGGGCTTGTGGGTCTTGCATTGGGCTTTGCCGTCTGTACACTTCACTCTTTCTACATTTTCAAGAATTGTTTAATCCTAAACTACCGCCATTTCTTGTTTTCCCTCATCATTGGCCTATTCGTGACGGCTCCGGCGATCTTTTTCTTTGCCTGTCGGTTGCTGTGTGCGCGACAGCGCTGCATCTTAGCTGTTCCCTCCCTTTTTTAAAGGGTCAATTAAGAAGACCAATACAAAAACAATTATTGTTCTTTATCTGAGTGACTATATAGCCAAGCAAGCCGACGAAGAACACCGCAACAACCCCACCGACTGCCAATTGTTGTCTGCTGTAACTAACCCTCACCCTCTCCTCCTTTCTTCCTTTCTTCTACATATATCTAGCCACTTACTTGGCATCCACTCTTAATACCTTAAGCGGTTTGTCTTTCTTTCTTCTGCTTTGTCTGCAAACGAGAAGACACAGCCGACAGCTTGTCCTCTGCCCCCCCCCTCCCCCCCCCTCCCC